GAGATCTGGGCTTTGACTAGGCCATTCCAGCACATAATTGTGCTTTGACATGAACCATTCCATTGTTGTTTTGGTTGTGTGTTTTAGAGCTGTTATTCTTCTGGAAAATGAAACTGGCCCACAGCTTCATGGGGTTTGTTGCAGGTTTTCTCCATGATTTTCTCCAAATAAAAGTTAAAGGGATCTTTCACTCTGACCTCTTACAATCTGGCGCGTCATTTGTTGGTTTGGAAGCTCAGCTTCAAGACTATTCCTTCAGTTTTATGCTGTTTGTGGACCGGAGTTCTCCGTTAACTCTTTGGGGTCCTTAAAGGGGCAGAATTACAACCGTAAAACCGCTGTTTTTAGACAGAGCCATTTCAAACCCATGTTCCGGTTCTTTGTTTGTCCTGATCAGGAGCGCCGTTCCGGTCGGTTCTCGTCTGCCTCTTCCCTCTTTCTGATGAAGAATTGAACTCTGATCTTTAAATCTCAGCGCGTTGCTGCTCTAGTCTGCTGCACGAGTTTCTCTTTGACATTCCCGCCTTAACTTTTTTTGTCCTGATGCTTTTTTTTTTTTTTCTGTCAACACAAATATTTGCTCCTCGTCTCTGTTCATCGCATTAAATCCCAATAATACACAGAGACATTTGGGGTTACAACATGACGAAATGCGGGGAAAGGTTATGTGCGAGTACCATTTTATTATTTTTTTTATTTTATTTTGCAAGGCACTCCACGTAAGCGTCCCATATTGGTCCCCAACGTTTACACGGACTGCGTCTTGATGCAGAAGAGTGAAAGATCATGTCCCCTTTTCTTTTCCCCATCAAAGCTTTTTCCCGGTTCCCCGCTATTAATATTTCATCTTATAGTTCAGTGCTTTCTGCTTCAATAGACAGCAAAATCACTGCAGAATGTGTCCAACACTTTCAGCAAAACCCTGCATTTCTTTATATACTACCTCTTCCCTGTGTGCGTTTCCGCCCCCGTCTCTACTCACTGCCATTCATCTTAATGTTTAAAGCCCCCACACCACTGCCTCTTTTTTTCTTATGTTGATATATTGTGCTGCAACACAGGCATTTTATGAAAGCAATATTATAACTCCCGACAGCACCAGCATGTTATTTATTTACTGATATCTGATGATATAAACCCCTTCACTGCAGGGCGTTATTTTCACTTTGACAATAACGCCACAGTTTTAGCAAACGGCTCATTTGGCATGCTCTTTGAAAGCGAAGGGCGTGTTTTTATTTACTTATTTATTTTTTACAATGTGTGTTTATGAGGAGGAGGCACCAATTTGATTAAGGGAAGTTTTTCCTCAGGATTTGATTTTTATTTTTTTTTGCTGCTGTGCCGCATCAAAACAAGCAGCGCTCGTTACGAGATGCCAGGTAAACGCCGCCGCCGGTCGCTGGCTGTCTCAGTGAAACAGTGGCAGTAGAACAGGCCGCGGCTCCGTTAGGAAAGCTTCAGCGTTTGTGCCAAATACTGGAAAAGCTACATTTAGGTTGACGCGCAGTGGGGGGGAAAAACCCCCAAAAAAACAGTTTGTCCATTAAAAATGTTTTTATCCTTGTACTGGAGTCTCTCAACTCTACCTCAAAGAAGATTTTTCTCTCAAATTATATCTTTTTTGCATTTTAGGAAAAAATCCACAGAAAGTTGTTTTGTGTCTTTTTATCATGGAAGCACGTCACTCAAGTATTTTGTATCTACTTATAAGATTAGTAAATTCTGTTTCACATTTCAGAAAAGAAATTCAAAGAAAAAACCATGATCATACATGCAGGCCAGAAGTTGGATGATGCCTCAAACTTGGACAGTAAAAAGTATCGGTATCGGTATCGGTATTGGCGATACTGGGCTTGTATTTAACAAATTTAGTTTCATACTTTTTTCCTTTGGTAAATGTTAATCTATTTGAAAATGTAACGTTTTGACATTCAGCGGTATTAACCGTCATTGTTTGATGCTCTTCCTTTGAAGTTAATTTAATGTCAACATCAATTGATGATAATGAGCTTTAACTATAAATTCTTCATGAAGAATTTAACCTTTTTTTTATACCCACATACTGTCAGTCGCGGAAATATAAACATGCAGCTGTTTGACACTTAAGACTTTGAGCTTCAGTTGAAATACATCTCCATGTTAACACAGAGTGATCAGCATCATCCTCATGTCTGTGATTCTTAGGCGGCTCAGTTTCCATTTCCTGACCAGAACTAAAGAAACGACGCTGAATGTTTGAGAATAATTGGTCTGAAACCAGAAGTTTTTCAGCGTTTGAGGACGGACATCCAGAGCAGCTCCGGGCTTTTTAAGAGACGGAGATCGGAAATAATTTCAGTGATAGTCAAACGGCATGGCTGAAATGTTTGAGTTCAGATGGAGTAGTACTGGGGAGAAACCAGAAACCTGCATAAATTATAGAACGCAGCTTTTAAAGAGCTCTGCAAAGTATTTAAACCCCTTGAAATCCATCACATTACAATTTCAATGAGTTTCACTGGGATTGTAAGCGATGGCCTAACACATAGTAGATCGTAATTATGAAGGGAATTTGTTTATTGTTATACAAATGGGAATTCTGGCCCGTGTGTCAGTAATCTGTTCAGCCGCTTTTGCTGGAAGACGCTTTTGGTGAATTTTGGCGACTTTAACGTTGCATACCAAAACAGCAAACGAGCTCAATGGAGATTATCTTAGAACATCCGCTTTAAGACTCCGGGATGGACATGTCTGAACTTTGACTTGGCCGTTTCCAGCGCAGGATGTACTGTGAGCGAACTCACTCCTGCTAATCTGAATGTTTAGGGTCGTTGTTTCCCAAACAAAACGGCAATCAAAAAATAAATAAATAAATAAAAAACGTTTTTGGTTTTTTTACGTTTTTGCTACGTCCTGCCAACACGACTTGTGGTTAATTGCAAATGAGTTTCCTATTACTTTCTTTCGACAGTGGCTTTCCTCTTCTCTCTCCTTCATGAAGTCCAGATTTGTGAAACGTATCAACAGACATGTCGCACACCTGTAATCTCACCTGAGCCGGCGATCTCTGCACCTCCTCCAGAGTCACAATGGGCCTCTTGGCTGCTTTTATAACTAACGCTCCTCCTGCTCCTGCTTTAAACCTCCACCCACTTGAGGCCAGCTACAAAAGACAATAACAAAAAAGTAATAATTCATGCTTTTTTTTTTCTCAAAATTTTAACCAAATAATTCTAACACTATTTATGTCCAAATACAAATAATTATGTTGTTAGGAAATAATCACATAACTGTTTCTTCCTTGTTAAAGGATTTGTAAACCTGCATGTTATCCACACTAAAAGCTCGTTCAAATGTATTTGGCAGATTTGAGTAGTAAGTTGCATAAGCAATTCTGATTTTGAGGGAAAAAAAAGTCAGAAATCGGGATTTAAGTTCATTCATAACATTGTGATGTTGGTGCTGGACTGGATGTCATTCAGAGGAGTCGAACTCAAACGCATGCCGCACTTTTTAGTTTATTCATTCGTAAATTTTGAGAACCACCTTTTCATTTTCAATCTGTTGCATAAAATCCTAATAAAATTTAGAGTTTGTGGTTGCTTTGTTAAAAACTTTCAGGAACATAAATGTAAACAGTTCAAGTAGGAAAGCAAAATAAAACAATCATGGAGTTTTTCTCCCTTTTTTAAATGAAATAGACGATTGTTTTAATAAATGAAAAGTCCTGTTTTCAGGAACAATTTGTTCTGGGCAAGTGAAATTTACTTGTACAGCACATTTCGGCAACAGATACCAATAAACAATACAATTTGAAAAATGTCATCAGAATTATGAAGCAAATATTCATCAGATGCATTGATCCATGTTCCAGTTTATTATGAATCAAATGCTAACCAGCTGAGGTTTTGAGCTTTTAACTTAAAGAAACTTAAAAATGTAAAGTTTTCTGAAAGTTTGCTCCAGATCTGTGGTGCATAGAAGCTGAATGCTGCTTCTCCGTGTTTGGTTCCGGTTCTCTTTGTGCGAACGTTACCCCAAAAGCGGCATTCGTCGTCTATGCACCTCAATCTGGAATGAACTTCCAGAAAACTGTAAAACAGCCGAAACGCTGACTTCCTTTAAATCTCGACTAAAAACCCACGTGTTTACAGTTGTATTCGAAACGTAATCAATTACAAATTTCATGATGGAACTTGACTTACTGTTATGTTTCGATGGTTGATTCTGTTGCGTGGCTTTGCGTTTTTGTGTTTGTTTGGCAAAGCAACTTTGAAATGCCTTGCTGCTGAAATGTGCCATACAAATAAAATTTGATTTATCGAGTGGTAGCCTGCAGAGTTAGTCTCATGCGTCTCTGCACACATAACATATCGAGGATACAAGTTTTTCGCTTTAGGACACAATTAACAGGGTTTTTTGTTGTTTTTTTTTATTCAGCCGTGCCGCGCACCGGCCCTGTGAAACTGTGAAAACCAACATCTGATGATATCGCAGCGAAAAGACGAGGAGGCTCAGAGCAGCACAGGAGGAGTGTTTTTCTTTTTATTATCGATAAATGACATCTCACTCCCCTTTATCACAAAGCTGTTATTCGCTTAAACTTCACTTCTGTTTTTTATTGAATACCTCTCTGCAGTTGTTACAAATTAAAGGAATATATTAGGGTTTCTATCCCATAAAACGCTTAGGACACCAATCAACAGGGTTGAGGCAGCTTAGCTGGGTTTTATTGTCCAGACTCGTGGCCATCAAACTGCTCAAGGTCATTCTGGTGGCGTTCAGCACAAACCTGAAATCTATCATTGCGTTTAGCTTCAGGGCTGCGGCTAACAATTCTGTTGGTAGTCGATCAATCGAAACTAATGACGATCCTCATAATTAAAAACATCATGCACATTCTGCAGATGTCCCATTTAACCACTTAAGCTTCTTTTGTGCAATATAAGAAATACATTTAAAATATTTAGATGATAATTTCCTTTTAAATAAGAAAATAAATATTTTTAAGCCTAAAATGCAGCAACTTAGCATTTATTTAGTAAATGGTTTATTATTTGTAGGTAAATGTACTTCAAATATCTGAAAAGTTCATTGGCTTTACATCAATACAATAAGTATAATCTGCTGATCATTGTTTTTTGGATTAGCTAATTAATAGCTGGATGTCAAATGGCGATTAATAGATTTGTTTATCCAGATTTCTGAACCAGGTGAAGCTAAAACTGACACTTTATATCTGGGCAGAATATATTTGTATAGAGAAGTTTTCTTTTAATCTTAAATGCAGAAGTCACATAATTTTTTGCAAAGTTTTGTCTTAATTAATGCTCCGAATATATTGGTCTTTTAGCTGCTGGTCTTTGTCTGAGTCTGCATGTTTCAGTAAACGATTAATTGTCGACTAAATTAGCTGACGATTATTTCAGTAGCCGATTCGTCACGGTTAATCTGATTAATCGAGTTTCATTTTAATTCCATGTCAATTAATTCTGTTTTCTGCAGAACAACGTCTACAGTTGACCAACAGCGTCTGTTAGAAATTAAAAACATTAATTTGGAGACTTAGAAGCTTCATACATTTTGAAAAATCTACTGCAAGAGCCAAAAACACTTTATTAATACACAAAGTCGTTTCATTATTTTGGTTAAAGTGAATACTTTCTAAAAAAAAATTTTACTACTGCCTCATAAACATGTTTACTCCCCTTCTCTCCAACCACAGCAGCTCTGTATAATTCATTTTTTTCCCAGCAGAAACAAGTTTGCCTACATTAGCATGGCTTCAAGACGAAATACTGTTCCCCGAATGATTTACTGCGATCGTCGCACCGACCGATCGCTCCTGCAGCACAAGCAGACCCGTGATATACTGCGAGAGCCATGATACAGAGCGAACAATGCTCCAAACTTCATCATGAAATCTGCGCAGGGGGAGCAGCTGCATGCATCAGCGTAATGCCAGCTTTGTTTCGAGTCCAAACGGAGCCAGACAGCGTCCTCATGAGCATTCAGTGCCAGATCTCAAACTGCTCCATTCATTGTGGCCTCCTCCCTCCCCTCCCCCTCTCCGCTGAAGGTGCGTGGTCGTTCTCTGTGTCGGAGCTGGCTGCACCAGGTGTGGAGGTGGGCCGTCTCACTGCCACCGACCCCGACCTGGGAGAAAACGCGCAGCTGGAGTTCACCATCCTGGACGCGGAGGAGGCGGAGATTTTCAACGTCACGGCAGAGCCAGAGAGGCCGTCATCGTGCTGAACAAGGTGAGCGGCTTTGGGTCATTCACTGTGGTACCATGTTGTCGACCAACACAAACTAGAGCATAAATATGGAGACAGTCATACATGGAATGTAGAAATGTGTCACACACACTTTATTAAGCCCCCAAATTTAGCAGCTTTTTAGAAAGATAAACTAAAAAGTTAGAAAATAAAACCCAGTAAAAAATTCCTTATTACAGATTTTTTAAAAATACTAGTTCAACTGGCAAATTATTTGACTTATGATAAAATAAAAAAACTTTTCCATGTCTTAAGTCAAGTGACACCAAAATTAAGAAATTATTCACTTAGAACAAATCTTCACATCTTGCTGAGACGCTGAGTCTTATTTCCAGTGCGCCGAGTTATCTGCAAAAGTTCTTAGTGAGGTTTTGTGTTTCTGCAGTGAGCAAATGAAAACAGCATGCCGGACACGGCAGTCCACCTAAACTGACAAGCAAGCAAGAGGCCCCATAGTGACTCTGGAGGAGCCGCAGAGATACACAGCTCAGGAGGGAATCTGTTAGTCACCCGCTCTGCAAATCTGCTCTTTTATGAAACAATGGTCGCAAAGTAGCCGTGACAAAAAGATGAGTCCATTTGTGAGCCTGCATGCAAAACGTTGTGTGTAGTAGAAAAGACTAAAAATGACCGAGGGTCTTGAATTACAATGCTTTCTAGGTAGGTAGGTAGTTTGTCTAGCTAACTACACTGCAAAAACACTAAATACTTTTGCCTGGTTTCTAGTGCAAATATCTTATTACACTTGAAATAAGACAAAAAGTATCTTACAAGTAACTTTTCAGGAAGATGTAGGAGCTGGTTTTCAGTATTTCACTTGAAACTTGGGAAAAATGTCTTGTTATAAGTGAAATAGTCTGACAGAGAAGCAAGTACTTTTTAATCAACATCAAGGAATCATTTAGTTAAAACAAGCTTCTACATATTGCTGAAAAGTCACGTGTTGGTTAGTTTTGCTTTATTTCAAGTGTACTAAGGTGTGTGCACTGGACTCTAGACCAAAATTGCTTAACAAGGTTTTGTGCTTCTGCAGTGCAGCGAGTTTTTTTACGTGCATCATGGCTGAGTGTAAATTTATTGGCAGTTAGCTGGGCGATGTTCATCTTAACCACTGACTTTCTGTTCCCAACCTGTACAATTCATTTATTTGCTTTTTTTTTTGTGTGTGTGTGTGTTTTTCTGTTGTGCTACAAGTCTTAAAAATGTTTTAAAATTCTCATATTCTTTGTGACAAGACTTTAAAACTGAGGTTGAAGCCTGAGCTCATTCACAAAGAAGAAATGTCCTGAATTTCTCTCTGCAGACGTGCGAAGCTGATGGAGACGCACACCAAAAAGCTCCCAAATGTAACGGTGGTGAAAGATGGCTCAATAAAGTATTGACCCAGAGGAGCTTTGGACATATTTTTAAAGCGTGGAATAGTTTCTTTACCCACCACTTTGTGTTAGTTCACACACAAAAAATAAGACGCACGGACAATTTTTGGTTGTAAAAGATGAAGCTGGAAAAAGTTGAGGGGTTTGAATAGTTTTTCAAATCATTGCATCAGCAACACTTTAAACATCTTCTGCGGAAAGTGTGAGCCCACCAGTGTCCTGAAGGGAGATAAATGAGAAATCATGAACTAGACATCAGCTGGTCAGAGGCTCATTGGAAGTGAGGTCCTGTTAAAAGAGCAGGATTTTGACTTTTAGGGCTTTTGACAATATTCGGTGAGATTATATAAGAAGGATTGAAGGAGAAGGTGAGGCTCGTCCTTAATTAGTCGGGGGAAATCAGCCGAGCTGGATAAGAAAAGAATGAATGGAGGAAATGAATGATGAAGTCTTCAGCTGGATCAAAACCAGAGCAAAAAATAACTCAGTTACGGTTTTTTTCTCTCTTTTCTTTTTGCAGCTTCTGGATTACGAAATGCGTAATTCGTATACTTTTTCCGTGGAAGTGGCGAACCCGGTCGTTGACCCCCGGTTCATACGGAAAGGGCCCTTCAAGGACCAGGCGACGGTCCGGGTGATGATCCTCAACGCTGATGAGCCGCCGCGGTTCTCCCAGGCCGTCTACCACCTGGACGTGTCTGAGAACTGTCCCCCCGTCTGTGCCGTCGGCCGCGTCCACGCCGTGGACCCGGACACGGGACAGAGCAGCAACATCAGGTGGCCGACTCACCGTCGCTTACACACACACACACACACACACATACACACACTCATTAGCTTCTTTACGCCTGCGATTCCTGACTGTTCCTCGTCCCGTATCCTAGGTACTCCATCGATCCGCAGTCGGACCCCGAGGCTTTGTTCCGCATCGCCTCCGACAAGGGCTTCATCAGCGCTGTGGTGGAGTTGGACCGTGAGCAGGAGCAGTGGCACAATATCTCAGTCATCGCCACACAGAGGGGTATGACGGACCGCGCTGCCGCGGGGCGCCTGGAGCGCAAACGGTGGATTTTTCTGTAATAACTTGAACATTAGCGTTCATTTCCCCCCACTCCTCTTGTCTCCCTTCCAGACAACCCGAATCTTGTGTCGAGGGCTGTGGTTGCCATAGAGACACTGGACCAGAATGACAATGCGCCGGAGTTGGACAGGCAGTACGCAACATCAGTATGTGACTCCAGCGCCCCGGGTCAGGTCTGTTCTTGTTCAGCCTCGGCCTGATGAAACATTTTACCCACTCAGTCTCTGCAGCCACTGTACTTCCTAATGTTTTGGGTTTTTTCACCCCTATAACTACACAATTAAAGCCTCCGCATCTTTATAAATGATACCAATAAGAAGAGCTAAACGTTTATCTGGCGCTGCAGTTTCTGAAACTGAACTAACTCGAGTGCAACATGCAGCCACTGCTGGACTCTGCTGATGCAATTAGATACTTTAAAGCGGAGGCAGAAATGTTGGGTTTGCATCAGCAGTGCTGAAGAAAAAGCTTTCTGTGGAGATGAGAAAAAGGGGGATTGTCAGCTCCTGGAATGGCTTTTACTGCGAAGAAGTCAAACGCGTGAGCAGTCAAACAATGTGATTATGGGATCATTTCGCAGTTTGTCCACATTGCTTTGTTTTTTTGGTTTATTTTCTCACTCTGCTTGATTTTATCGTTATTGAGTGTGGCAGACCAACACCAGGAGCGGCATATTTGTGGAGTGAAATAGAAATCAAGCAGACTTTGACTAAGAGTAGCATTACTTCAGTAGTTTTACTGACTCGTTGTGCGATCCATTAGTAGCCGAAACTCAAACATTTTGACCTCCCAGTTGAAGAAGTCAACTGGAACGCTCAAGGAAGTCACACTCCCCACTCAGAACAGTGGGAGGAACTCTGACTAGTCCCAGTTACGATTTGCAAGACTTGTTGTTTCAATATGGCCGCTCCTCAAATCAACAGTAGCAAGGTGTGATGGAAACATTCTCCAGTCTGACTGAGCTACTGTGAGAAGAAGAATGTCGGTGTGAAGTTGGATGAGACAAACTCTTCTCCTGTAACTGCTGCAGAATTTGGTGCTGCAAAGTGCTGAGTTGGAGATGAATGAAAACACATAAAAGGTGACCTATTGTGCTTCCTTTAACAGGTTACAAATTTGTATTGGCTATGCAAAACATGTTTCTTAAATTTTTTGCAGAAAACCAGTCGTAGGTAATGAGATTCGATTCTGCCTGTTCCTTTCCCAATGATCTTTCTTTGGGCCTCCTGTCACTTTAAATCCAAATAAGCTGCTGCTGGCCACGGCCCCTCAACTCAACATTTACACTCGCACATGAAAATGGCTGCAAAACAAATGCGCAATTATGCATCTTTGAAAAGCAGAAGCGGAGCCTCCTGCACAAACAGTTGAATGGAGCAAGTGGTTTCTAAACGACAAGCCAACAACCAAACACTGGTCTCTTCCAGCAGCCATTGCACACAGCGCATTCAGCCGTACACTCTCACTGGAAAAAAGAAAATTGAGCTTAGCTTCAAAAAATATTGTTAATTTGTCACATGTAATGAAATTAAGTTTGTCAAGCTTACTTTATTTACGTTTGCTTAACATGGCAACTTAATAAACTTAATTTATTTACTTGGGTAAACTTAATTTGGTTACTTATAACAAATGGACTTTTCTTTTTCCTGCTGGCTCACCTATTTTCTTTTTTCAGTGCAGCTGACCAAAGATGCTGGAGCTTGTTGCCCTAGGTAGCGGGGCTGGGCTCCCCTGGGGTTGCTAGGTGACAGCAGTGCCTGTCTATTCCAAATTTGTATGAAACATCCAGACACCAAGAAACATGAACGTATTTTTTTATGTCCTTGGGTTGTTGTAGAAGCAGTAGAAACCCAAATGAAAGTACAAATGCGTGTAAATGTTTAATTTTGCATCCCAGGGCCACTTGAATGCTTGTAACTTGTAACAAGACATGCAGAAGTTCAACTTCACGGCACAAGAACAACAGATTATTCTCCGCCTGACTGTTAAACGACTCTTGTTAAAACGATCCTCCGGCTCTTTGCTCCACAGGTCGTCCAGGTCCTCCGAGCGGTCGACAGGGATCAGGGAGGACAGGACTCTCCGGTCCACTTCAGCATCCCTCCTGAGTCCAGCTCCACCCTCAACCTCTCCATCAGAGAATCTGGAGGTTACCTCCCCCGCTTCTCCCTACAGCCGCTATTTCACATTTCAGGCAGAAATTGGACACCCGTCGATTAGCGACAAGAGAGCGCCCTGTGCTTTGCTGTGCAGTGACATGCTTGATGTGTTGTCACATCATCAGGTGTGACAGCCAGCCTGGTGCTGCAGTCGGCCTTGGAGCCGCTCCCTGGCTTCTCTGCGTCTCCGCTCGCCCTCGACGTGCCGGTGGTGCTGCGTGACGGGGCCTCGGGGCTGACCAACACCGGCACCGTCACAGTCACCATTTGCCCGTGTCTGCAAGGCGGCATGCAGACGGAGAGCCGGGGCAGGCAGCGGGACCCGCGGTGGGAGAGGCATGTGGTCTGCCTGCCCGCGCCGTCCGCCTCGCCGTCGCTCATCTTCAGCTTGGTCACGCTGCTCGCCATGCTGGCCTGTGTCACCACTCTGCTGGGTGAGTTCTGGGGGTGGAGAGGATTTCGTGCGACATTTCTGCTGGGGGAAAAAAAAAAAACTCCCAAGTATGTTTTTTTTTTTTCTTTTTTATTCTTTTGAGCGACTTGTATTTGGAAAAGACGCTGAGCGGTTGTGTCAGGCTTGCTTCTGGAACATCAGTGGAGTATGTGGGCATGTGTCTGTTCTTTGCCCTTTAGTGGTGTGTGCTCTCTCGCTGTCATTGCGCCATCAGAAGCGAGACTCCCACTCGCCCTTTGAGGAGGATGATGTCAGGGAAAATCATATCCTACGACGACGAGGGGGGAGGGGAAGCGGACACGGCCGCCTTTGACATCGCGGCGCTGCAGAGCATGCACAGGATCCAGCACATGCACAACAGCGGGAACATGTGAGTCGCTCGCGCGCCGTGGCTCCCGGCTGTTTACGTGCGTGCTTGTTTTTCGATGGCTGTGATCTCTCTCTCTCTTTCTCTCTCTCCGTCGACACGCAGATGGTACACCCAGCAGAATCCGCCCAGAGCCAGGTTGTACAGCTGGAGCCGTCACCCGCGCCCGGCTCTGGGCCCCCAGCAGCGGCCCGGCTCGGCCCCGCTCTACGGGCGCCTCTGCTACGGCGTCCACACGCTTCCCGTTCCCAGAGACTACCCGCTCGGGCCGCTGGAGGAGGGCCTCCAGCTGGGCCAGGTGACCCAGGGTGTCGGGGCGGGTCACGGCGCCAATCGTCTCCTCGTCCCCGGCCAGAGAACCTTTGAGCATCTGCTGCGCTCGCTGAGATGAGCCTCGGCGGCTTCCAAGTGGAGCATATGCTGGCAAAGAGCGCGGCCGCAAAGGGGAACGAGAGTGGCGGGGCAAATGCGGCTGGCGCCAAAGGAAGGAGGAACAGGCCAAGGTCAGAAACGCTGCGGAGCAAAGCAGTTACTCACAGCTCGCTGTTTATGTTTTGTTTTTTTTTTTTGTGTTTTTTGTTATGTTTTTGTCTTTGAACAAGTTCTAACATCATTAGGCCTGTGAGAGAAGAAAAGCAAGTATAAAAGTCATTAAAAGGTCAGCTTTCCTTACAGTATCAAACATTTAAAGGGATAGTTCAGGATTTTTGAAGTGAGATTCTGTCTAAAAGGTTCAAAGTGTACTGAGATAGATGCTCAGTACAGTTTGCACTGAGAATCTACTGAGCTATAAAACTGCTGTATAAACATAACTTAAGAGGAATTTGACTTCAAAATTTAACACCTTGAAATTGGGCCTCTGTCTCTTAAGAAGCTCCTGCTCTTTCTGAACTTTAACAACGTTTTTAGGAGAGTTGCTCTGAGAAGTAGATGGTATCTGCGCTTGGCAGATGCCAGTCCAGATGTTGCTAGTTGCCTCTGGCTAGTCTGTAGGAGCCGAGCGGAGGGCAGCTCTGTGAGGTAGAAGCTCTGATGCTTGGAAACTGAAGCTCAGAGTAAGAGCTTCGTCCTCGAAGGCGGTGTGAGGTTCCATCCAGAATGGTTGCCGCAGGAGATTAAAGTATTTCTGAAACATGCATGAAATAATCAATATAACACAGCAGGTATGTTTTTGATAAGGAAATGACATTATAACATGACAAAAAGTTGAAAAAAGTCAATTTTGCCAAACATCTCCGCTTTAACAACCTTTATTCAAACGTTTTTCTCAGTAGGTTTTTCACCTACGCACGGTCTCCCACTGCCATTCCCCACATAAATAAAAATCAGCTTCCCTGTAAATAACTATAAACTGCAACAACCTTCCTGACACTCAAGGTAGTTTACGACAGTAAACGTCTGTCCCCCCTCTGAGACAAACTCATCTGGATTAATACTGAATGAAAAGTTAACCTGATGCAGCTACAACATTACGTGCTCATAAGACAGAACCTGCCTTAAAACTCATGAGCTGCATCAGTTTAAAATGCAATACTTTATCATCAAATCAATACACTTCTTTTATGTCAGGTGTATAATTTGGCCCAGTTATTGGAAAAGATAACTGCAGCTTTAAATGATTGTATTTTACTGCAATGAATATATATCTACATATAAATCTTAAGTGTATGTATTCAGTAAGTAGAAAAATTAATTTTAAGAAATTGTTCAATTTTAGTGTTGCACCTTTGATTTATGAAATGTAATTTACGATGTTTTTTTAATGCTTTACGTTTTAGGTTGATTAGTTTCTATGGCTTTCTAACTAGAAACCTGTATTTATATACACACAGTGAAGAGGATGAGTGGTAAAAATGTACAAAGCCAAGTTGCCAAGACTGGCTTTTTGGTCCAAATGTGGCCCATATCAGAACACCAGATCAGGGCCACTTAAATACAGCTGGGTACATGTCTGCTGTTGTTTGTATGTGTTTTGGTCTTTAGCATTTAGTCTGGGGCACATTGACCCACCTTTCTCACTCCCGATACCGATAGCTGAGATTTCGTATCGGCTGATACCGATCCGATGCAGAACAACAGTTCTGAGTTTACTTAAAACGATACTTTTCTTTTTTTTTACAACACAGACATAAATGTGCTTAATTAGAAATGTGTCAGATAACTCTGCACTAGTACAATACACTTAAATACACCAATAGCTTTGCAAGTTTGGTCAAACATGTAAAAATAAATTACATTTGTTCAGTCAGAGCAATTAAGAATGGAACAGCCAGTGTAAAATAAATGTTCAGAGCCCTTATCTGCCCTTATGGATCAGACACATTGTCACCAATACCCAATCTGGGATGTTTTGGCTCTGATATCTGTATCAGAGCCAATCTTGCCAATATTAATATTGGATCGTGTATCACTAATTCAGTCCAAATTTGATGTTATTGAAGTATAAAATTTGACCAGATCAAATATAAACAGTGAATGAGTCACTGATGGAGCTGGTCGTCATTTTTACATGCAAAGATGTCTGATCCCAAGAAAAAAAAAAATCTGAGTTGATAAATAAAAATTTAAGTTTTTTAAATCCTGCGATGTCTTGTGCCTGTTTTTTTTTTCCTCTCAAAATCCCTGGGAGTTTTATTGCAATGCATGACATCAGAGACTCTTTGGGACTATTTAGATAAAAATATGGTTGACTCTGTCAGCCAAATGAAAATGGTTTTCACTGGGTCTGTCAACAGAAAAGTGATCCTAAAGATTATGGCCCAAATCGATACAGAAATGGTTCACCAGAGGCAAAGCCCTCTTTCTTTCATGGCCACCTAAATCATTTGGAAAACCAGAGGGTGAGATGAAGAAAAGAACATTTAAGATTGGAGTCTGAACTCTGGTCGATTTAGAGAAGTAAAAGTTCAGATAAAGGCTCACGTCGGGACCTAGTTCTCGTTCTGTTGACGAGAGAAACATGGGCAAAGTGTGGGCTCACATAAATATTCCAGGAATGCATTTTTCTCCCATTTGCAATAAATCACAAGATAAGACAAAAATTATTTTAAGGCCTTTCTTTTACATCCTCAACAGGAGTTCCCATGAATGTAATGAGCGCCGCATAAAGACGGCTTTAGACTGATTAAAATTTATGGAGCCCAGGCGTGGCGGAGCTTCGCGTTAATGCAGCAGCCGTCTTTCAGGCGTATTTGCATGTCGGCGCTGCCGTAATCAATCATTTGCATATAGGAGCATTGTTTATTGCTTGATGTGGCAATAAAACAACAGCCGGGGCAGAAGCACTTCACCAGCCGTTAAACCGAGGCTGTCATTGGAGGAAGTGAGAAAATAAAGCAGGTTTTATTAGGTGGCCTCAGCTGTGAAATCACAGACAGACGAACGGAGAAAAGAGGCTTGTGGCAGCAGTATATAAAAAATAAAGCATTAAAAAAAATCACTAGATCTTCAATATTTTCATTCTTATGTGTGGCTTCAACTATTTATAGTGCATTCCAAATAACACCACATAGATAAAAACAAAAAACAGAATAAATAACCTGATGAGACTTTTGCACCAACTCAATTACTTAAAGTATAGTTTTGTGCATACTCTAGTGTGTGTATGTTATAATAAAAAAAATAATAAAAATGATACCCTTAATAAGAAATGCAGAGTCTGTGAAATTAGCTGTTTCATATTATGGTAAATTTTTGTCGCTGTAGTACATATTTTTCATTTTAACTTTCGCATCTCAAGCTCGAGTGCTCTAAAAAATGTGCGCGCACGATCGGGCATGTGTATCAGACGGGCGACGTCGTCACCACACATTCATCTCTGTCAAACAGAAAATGCCGGATGATGAGGTTGGTGCACCGGGGAAGTCATAATCGCATACGAGGCGTGGGGGGAAAAAATTACGAAAGTGAAGGGAAGGAAAAAAACAAACACCTCGGCCAAAAAGATGTTGGTCCAATCAGAACATGAGGGGATCGGATTAGATGTGCGTCTTAATGAGTTCAAAAGTTCTCGACAGTCATCAAGTGAAACGGTTTATTGATAAAAGCAACAAAATGGAGCTGGAAGATGTTAAGGAAAATCTAGAAACAAGAGAAGTTACACTGCAAGGTCAGCAGAGTCTGGAAGTATTTTCACCTGGTAGCTGATGACAACAGGACGTGTGCTGGCTTGGTGGCCGGCATCAATGTCACTTCGTCTGTCCTTTTGCATGGAGTACTGCATTGCTGGGTCTTGTTTCTATCATCCTGTTCCTGACAGTGCTCCATATATCCTCTGTGGGGTTCAGGTCGGCTTATATTGCTGGCATATCAACCCCAGTAATGTTCTCGCCGTTAAAGCGGCTGTTGGGAAGTGTTGGCTGCTGCCAAATCCTGCTGGAAGATGAAATCAGCGTCTCTGAAAGCTTGACAGCAAAGGGAAGCAGCAGATCACAGGCCTCCACAGATCATTACTGACAACCCGGGTTCTGTGGTTCTGCGCTCTTTCTTGGCATTCTGCGACCTGGAAGTCCAAATTCAATGTGGAATTCACTTTCCTCTGAAACAGGTCCTCTTGTTTTTTCTCCTTAGCCCAGGTGAAGAACATCTTATGTCGTCTCTGGTTAAAAACGCAGCTGCAGCTGAGGGGGCGATGACTCGGCTTTGGAATCTCCCAAAAAACTTTTCAAAGGGTTTTCCTTCACAATTCTGCGTACAATTCTTTACGTATGTTGTCTTTCCACTTAAATGTCAGACTAGCAGGACCTGGACAAATGATCAGGAAGCCCAGATGGTGATCAAGAGCAGCATGTAGAGGATGTAATATATGTGAATGGAAATGGTTATGGGGACATACTGCTGATCTGACATTTGTCCTTTTATGTATTTTTCTGTTTTTATGTATTTATTTATGGTCATTGTCCTTTTGGATGAGCTTTTAATGTATTGCAGTTTTGCTCCTGCTTCCAAGATAAATGTCCTCCTATCGGAGACTAATCAAATGATCTTATTTTCATAAAGTAGAGCTGAAGCGATTAATCGGATAAGTTATGATGAGTCATGATTAATCGATTATTGGAATATAAAAAAGTTCAAGTCATATTTTAAAATACTGTACCGATCCTACAGTGAAATGAATTGTTGTTGCAACTCATCAATTCAGATTCTTCAGAGATGTTGTAGGTGGAGATGGGAAAATGTCTCGTGTAGCAGTCTGTGTTACAGTGAATTTGAAGAACCCTCTGACTGGAGACGCTCTGAAAAAGAGGATGGTCAGGGTTGTCCATAATTTTCTTGCCCTGATGTAAAACTCTTTGAATCGTCATCTCCAGGGGTTGGAGTAGTTCCTGGAACATAATCGGTTATTGTCCAGCATAATCGATTATGCTGGACTCTAAAAGATGAATAACTTTTTCTTCATTTTTACAATTAATTGCCACAACAATCAATAGAATAATCAATTTCTAAAATAGTCCTTATCCGTTATCTTCACTTCCTGTGTATTCAACTGGCTGAACTGAGTCAGTCGATTGACATGTTAGTTTATTGAGATGCGTTGAAGTATTTTGGCTTCCTCTGACTCGCCTCATCGCTGCCTTTCCTTCTCCAGCCGAACCCGACGGGCCCGGAGTCGACAGCCGCCAACGTCCCGGCAGACCTGACCTACGAGTCGTCGTGCCAGAGCCACACCAGCTTCTCATCGAACCAGCAGGATGGCCGACCGGGGTCGTCCCAGACCCAGGTCAGCACCGGCGCCACCAGCACCACGGCGGACGACATCGACACCGACTCCTCCATCCCCTCCATGTCGGAGCAGAACTACTCCACTAGTAGCCAGATGAGCAGCGTGAACTCCCCCGCCTATGTCAAGGCAGACTCCTACAGCATAGTGGGCTCGCTGAACCCGGGCGGGATGGGGGTGTGCATCAATGGGACCGGCGCCGGCGGCGGGTTGCAGCTGCTCAACATGGCAACGCTGAAGGCCAGAGACGCGCCCCTGCAGACTTTCGGCGACGGAAAAGCCCCAGCGTCCGAAGCCCCGAACCCTCAGCCGCTCCGGATGGAAGAACTCCTCAACATCCGCTTGGACCGGGTCACCTCGGACCTGTCGCAGCCGCCCTACGACTCGCTGCAGACTTACGAGTTCGAGGGCCGCGACTCCAGGGCCGAGTCGCTGAGCTCGCTGGAGAGCGACGGCGACAAGGAGGGCGAGCGGGCAGCGGGGGAGGCCTGGACGAGCTCAACCAGAAGTTCCAGAGGCTGGTGGAAATCATCCGCGAGAGGCAGAAGGAGAAGAAGAAGACGACGACACAGAGCGGCGAGGCGGCGGAGACCACAGAGACTCAGAGACAGGGCGAGGACACAGAGAAACAGCTGCAGAGATGGGATTTCTAGATCCCCTGTAAGAGACGAGCGTGAGCGAAGAGGAAAATCTTTGATAATGACGGAGTTTAAACACACACAAACACGGGGGGAAAAAACATTCCTCTGACACAAATGAGCTTTCCATTTTCTCCCTGACGTCAAGAATCAAGGCAAACCGGGAGTGCAGATCTGTGATCAGTGTGTAGCTTTCACTTTCACCGGGTTTAGAAACGGGAACCCGTCACTTTTCACACCAAACATTAATAATGCAAACAGGGCTTTAAAAGTTAGAGATATAAATAATGTTTGTTTTTTTTATATATATATATAAGCACTCCAAAAATTGTTGGAGAATATGTTCTATCAAAGAGTGAATAGTTATTTAAGTCAGTATGTGACGTTTTTTGGCTCCAAAACTGGAGACGCCACATGACTAAAATGACCAAAAATATTTATATCCCTTAAATCTTTTCACCTTACAGCAGGGCTGGATAATAAATCCATAACAAAATCACGGTAGACACATGATCAATATCAATCGATAAAACATCTGATAGAATATTCAATATATAGAATATTCACTGAAGCAGAGGAAAGGTTTCGTCCATCGTCATATCGTCCAGCTCGATCAGCAACAAACTTCGGTGTGTTTCACTGAGATTTTGCGTGATAGGTAGACAGTAACAATTTGTCCCAGAAGTCATTGCGGTAAACAACATATTGTTGTTCGACTTTTTTCATGCAATATTGTGGTAATGGCATAATAACGCTGAAAGATCAAGAAACATTTAATTTCTAACCGCCATTTAATTGTACGATGTCAAAATAAATAAATCCGAAACAACAAATAAAACGGCTAAAGATGGATGAGAAGCGATCTGGTAAAACGATCCGCTTTGGCTTAAAACGCTTATGTAGTAGGAAAGGGACCCTGGAAATCATCCTGAACGCATCAGGGTGCAGACAGTCGGGGTCAGAGTTCATGGGGAGATACAGGAAGCTGAAAAAAGAGTTGAAGCAGTAGAGGTTCACCCTCCCGATTTCACACCCTCACAGTGAAATCGTTTAGCTCTTTTGCCATGATGGCTCAAAGTCAAAACCTCAATCCAAGAATCTCCGGCAAGAAAATTGCTGCGTAAAGACACAGCGTTTAAGCTATTTTGAAGAGAACAGGAGAAAACGTCTCTAGACGTGCAAAGCTGGTAGATTTATGAGGTATTAACTCACCATGGACGGACACTGAACTGCATTATTTGCAGAGGACTGTGAAACGAGTGTGCGCTGAAAAAAAAATCACACTGAAGCTTGTGGTTGGAAGGTGACAAAAATGTAAAAAAGTTTAAGGGACGGATACTTTTGTAAGGCACAGCAAGTCCCCTCTGACGACATACATTAACTATGCTCAAAATAATAACTGTCCAAACAAAACCTGTTCACTTTGAACATCAACAATCAATAGGCTGAGTCTATCAGTGACGCCTGTGTTTTTGCTAAAGGAAAGACAAAAAAAAAAAAATGGTAATTAGCATCCATATGCAGATAAACATTAAGCTCAGCTGTGGATGTTGTTGACCGGACAGAGGTTTTTGGGCCCCGGCTATTTGTCGGACACAAGAAGCGGTAACGAAGCGAAACATGGAGAACCTGCACTAGATGATGTTCACCCACACAAGAATTATTTATATCCCCCCCGTATTGTGTGTCTGCAAGCTTCCTCACCTTCTTGTAAAGAGATTTATGCAACACAGAGCGCAGAGACATTGTTCTTGTGACGGCCCCAAGACGCAGAAAGAACAAAAAAAAAACCTCTTGATTTGCTCCGAGAATACTCAGATGTTATTCACGCCTTTGACAGGGCCTCATTTTTAAAGCAATTTTTTAAAAACGCATTCATTATTGAGGAAGGTGCCGGAATAAGTTATTAGAAATAATGACATTATTTTTCAATAATGTGATAAAAAATGAATTTGGCTCCCGGCAATTGTTCCCACTCTTCATCCGCTGTGGGAATTCATCTCTTAATCATCTGTCGGTCTAATGGGATTGGAAAGCTTTCAGACTCGTTTTGAAGGCACATATTTTTTATTTTTTTCCCCCATGTATTTGCTTCCTTAAGTTTTATGTTGATGTTTTTTTAAAGAAGAATGCAGAGACAAGGAAGAGGGCCAAACAATGCCACAGTCACCACCACGCAGCTCATTGTCAGAACGCCGTGAGCATCTTTAGACATAATGCTGCGGTCTGCGGATGGAAATGACCAGCCATATCACGACGGAAACCCATTTAATGTGGAACTGGGCTGCTTTTATACAAATCGCCCCAGCAGTTGTCAGTCGAGAGTAAAATGCCACAAAACGGAACCACTGAATTTCAACTGTGTTTTAGAAAAGAAAAAAAAATGTCTTATTTATGTTTAAAAGGGAGAAAAGTCCTAGATATCAAAGCAAGTCTGTGTCGGTTCAGTCATAGGTCGAGAGAACAACGCCGCCACCTACAGGGCAACAGGTAGAATACCTTGTTAATCCTTCAGGAGGAAGGGACGCCATGATGGATTTGACCTAAATATTCCTGGCATTCGGCGCTTACGCTGAAGAACCTGAGGAACTGGGCTAAAATACCGAGGTAGGAAGGCCTGACAGCTTTTTTTTTCTCATTGAAAAACAAACCACAAAAAAAAAAAAAAATAAAATAAAGTACGTATGAATTTTTGTCACTTCAGCTCATAAAACTTCATTTTGCTCTAACGAAACAGTTGTGGTTGTGATTTCTTGCGCAGCCTTCGGCGACAGTCAGAGATGTGTTCAACGATAAAACGTGTGGTGAAAATGAAACCTGTTGGGAGGTTTAGTGGATAAATGCATTTATTCATAGTTTGCTGCTCCAGTTGGTTGCTTTTGGTGCCATCCGTTCCATTTGACCCAGAAGGAGGATTCTGTGATATCTTGGACTCTTCACATGTCTAAACAACATGATTATCGCTGCTCCGGGCTCCAACCACATTGTGAACTAAAGTTTGTAGAAATATGTGGGGGAGGGGGAGACCTTGATGTGAACCATGTTGAATGTTTTGAAACCAAAAAAAAAAATTCACGCAACGAGTCTTCACTCCATTAACGAAACAACCACATGTATTGTTAGTTTTACGCACAATTAAATAAAGTTCAGATTTAATCTGCGGGATTTTTTATTTTATTTTTTAAACTTCTGCCCTTTTAAAGTCCACAAGGAAAAAAAACCCCTGCTGATTCACTGTTCCATGTTTTTTGGGACAATAACATCACAGGAGGAACAAGCAATTTTAGAAATGTTTCTACGGAGTTGGAGGTGGACTCAAAAATATGAAACTCTTCCTTAAAGGATTTTCTGCAGTGAGGTTCTGAGAAGGTATCAGTAATAGTTTGCTTATCTGTAGAAGAAACGTGACCCTGCAGGGAGCTTGAAGAAAAGCAAATAAATTCTCAAAAGGAAGGAAACTTGACATATTTGGCAGATAGACTCTCCTATCAAGCTCACAGTTGAAAGGGAACTTTTATTTATACAAATGTTGCTGAGCCTCACTTTAAATTTTGTCATTTATACTTGTTTTTTAAGGTGCATCGATCATTTGGAGTCAAAAACGCCGGGTTTAGATTTGGAAAAATGGGGATGTTTGGTTAGACGCTTCAGCTGCTCTTCTTCGACACAGCCCGGTTTGCGCCTTTGCTTCAGTTTGGACATTTCTTTTAAATTATTCCTTTCAAAGCTGCAGATTGAGTTCTTGGAGTGACAGATTGTGGGCTCCACACAGCAGTTAGCAGACGGTTTTCTGAGTTATATGCCACTTTACTTCCCCACCCCTACAGCTATCTTCCCAATCAGGCTCTCTCAAGCAGTTCTTGATTCGGAATTTAATTTGGATGAACAACCAGGCAGAATTAGTCACCGCCGTCCTCGGAGCGACCCGGAGGGAAGTCCTCTTTTGAATAAAACGGTGGAGCTTCGAGGATGTGATGCTTCACATTGGCAGAGAAACAGCGGTGCATCGATGCATATGCAGAGTGATTTAAACCAACAGCATCTTTTTTTAATATATATATAAAAAAGAATAATAATAATGTCATTCTGTTTACTTTTTCAGATTCACTTTATTTTTGCTCATTTTGCTCACTCATTCATAAATAAGGGTCACAAAGCAATTTCTTTGTGAGGGCTAATGTTAGCATGTGGGGCTATCACTACCGTTTAGAGATTAGCATGCTGACACTACAGTAGGTCGAGGGTCATCACCAGAATGTTGACAAACACTGACATACTCCATTTAGCATGTAAAACTTAGATTTTATGTGAAAATGACTCTAATGTTAGCATAACAACTGTCAAGCATGTTGACTTACATGGTAGTTACAAAACATAGCTACATAGTTACAAATGTTAGCATTTCATGCTAACAAATGAAATGTTAGCATTTTATGCTAACAAATGAAATGTTAGCATGAGGGCTATCAATACCGTTTAGAGTGATTAGCATGCTGACACTACCAGTAAGTCGAGGGTCATCACCAGCATGTTGACAAACACTGACATGCTCCATTTAGCATGTAAAACTTAGGTTTATGTGAAATTACGTTAATGTTAGCATAACAACTGTCAGCAGCATGTTGACTTACATGGTAGTTATAAAACATAGCTAACAAATGAAATGTTAGCATGAGGGCTATCACTAGCATGTTGAGTGACTCGTGAGTGGCATTTTGAGGCTCCCATTTGGTTGAGTTATCGTTAGCATGTTCGCTAACATAAAATTAGTTTGTAAGTTAAAATTGGCACAAAAAAAGATTTATGGGGCATAGTGTTTTATCAACTACATTGCCATGGTAACTCAAAATGGCAATAGAAGTTTTTTTATTCTTTATTTACTTTATTTCAAACAAATAACATACATAGAGGGTCTTTAACACAAAGACATGTCACAATCTAAAAAAAGTAATAATAAACAGACATTGATTGTTGGTTCAGAATGAAAAAAATAAAAGTTAATGAAATATACACATATATTGGTCAATTAAAACAATGTGTAATTTTTCTACTATTAGCAAAAAGTGTCAAAATATATTCAAATACATGCAATACAAGGCTCCATTATAGCAGAAGAAAAATAAATTAACAAATGACAGAGGGATCTGCTTATGAGATAGTTAAATTCCTGAAGAAGGGTCAATGTTTTTACACGTTTCTTATTATTAAGTTACGTTTTTCAACAGAGGCAACATACGTTTTTAAATCGGTTTCTTTAAAATTTTTGAAAGAGGGCTTTTTTTTTCTTCACTCCATCATATGGACATAATTTTTTTTTTATTAATTTTTTTAGAGAGATTAAATCATTTTAATTGTTGCTGTTTTGTTTGTTTATTTTATATATTTAAAATGCCTTCCAGCGTTGCTCATTTTCCATCTTTTTAATTTCTAATACATGAGAACCAGGACGGTTCCGCCGTTTAGATCCTGTTTAAAATAATCTCTTTAGATCATGAATCTTTCTGTAGCTAAATCTCGATATTTGCTGGACTTCATCGAGCACTCGGTTCTACGGTTTCACGGTGAATCGTCCGCACACGCAGTGTGACGTCACGCCGATTTATTGCCCGCTCGCTCGAGAAGTCAGAGCCGAAAGTTCAAAGCTCGTAGATCTTCCAAGGAAGATTGAGGGATTCTTCACGAAATTCTCTCGC